TTTTCACTTTCATAAGAGAAAAATGGCAAAACAGAATTGAAACATTCCTAACCACTGAGGTTATGAGACACTAAAGTAGGGTATTATCTTGGTGCCTTATTTCCCAATCTAGAAGTTTATCAGACCCCAAAAGGGCTCTTCTGCTTAGTGACAACGGGAATGAATGAAATAACTTGCTAAAGTTTATTTCAGGTCAGAGACCCAGGGTTTATACTTATCCCTTCTCCCTTCCCTCCCCCATGCCTTGACCTCTGGGCCTCTTGTCTTTGGAGGTTTTCACACCAGACACTGCAGCAGACACCCATGATAGGTACCATGACTCCTCTGAGTGCCCAGGGCGTCCAGGCAGGCGTCCGCTCAGCTTCCATCCTGCCTGAGCAGCAGCAGCAGCAGCAGCAGCAGCAACAGCAGCAGCAGCAGCAGCAGCAGCAGCAGTACCATATCCGGCAACAGCAGCAACAGCAGATCCTGAGGGTGAGGCACCAGGCTTTCCTCTGAGACCAGGAAGCCCAAGGAGGAGGAAAGGCGCCAGCTCTTCCCACTCTGTTACCCAGACTCAATGAGACAGTGTACTAAAACCCCCAGAAGAGTGGCTGGCCTACAGTGGTGCTTAATAAGTTACTCTCTACCCTCCCCCTTTTTGTTTTCTGGGCACTATAGTAGGAAAGGGTTGGACATTGTCTGCTGGGTACTCTCGATTTGGTTTCCTTCTGTGTAGCTGTCTGAGAAGGGAAGACAGTGGGCCCAGAGTTCCCTCACTGCTGCTTCATTTCCTGTCCCCAGCGCCCCAATACTGAATGTCAGTATCGTTTATGTCCTCGCAGCAGCAGCAGCAGCAGCAGCAACAGCAGCAGCAGCAGCAACAGCAACAGCAGCAGCAGCAGCAGCAGCAGCAACACCAGCAGCCACAGCAGCAACAGACAGCTCCTCCCCAACCCCAGCCCCAGTCTCAGCCCCAGGTAGCTCCTGGACTACAGCCCCAGGCTCAGGGACAGCTGCCCAGGTTGGGCACACAGCCAGTGAACTGGGTTGGGGACAGTACAGAATGGAGCAGAGGTGGGAGGCAAGGCACAGCACCCTAAAAAGGGATTGGGAGGTGAGGAGGAAGAAGGAGGTGGAAGGTCAGAGTTCAGTCTCCCACTTTCCATTTTCACCTCAGTTCCAGCGTCAGGGGCTTCAGCAGACCCAGCAGCAGCAACAGACGGCAGCTTTGGTCCGGCAACTCCAACAACAGCTCTCCAGTAAGCCCGCCTGCCCTCCGGAGGAGAACACCATGAAATCAATGGGGACGGGGTGGGCAATAGTGGCTAAGCTGATCGCTTCAGGCCCAGGTTATGGGGGGAAGCATTCTGTTCTGTTCCCTTCCCTTGCTACCCAAATAGCTTTCCTCATGCATACCCACACCCCTGCTCCATCTTCCAGCCCTGATAATCTCTGGTTTTTCACAGATACCCAGCCACAGCCCAGTACCAACATATTTGGACGCTACTGAGCCACCTGGAGGAACTGCTTGTGCACTGGATGTGGCCCCAACCTTTCCTCTTAATTCCCAGTCCCTTTCCCAGGCTAGCACCAGTAGTGGTTGGGGCTCTTCCCTCAGGCTCCATTTTTAATAAGTTTTTAGTATTTTTGTTAATGTGAGGCATTGAGCTGTTGGGTTTTGTATATTATTTATATAGATACCCCAGAGCTGTTGCACCCAATACACAGAGCTTCTTTGCAAAGGGAGTGTGTGAGTTTTGCATGTCTGGGAAGGGTGGTCTCTCAGGAGAGTGCTGGGGGCTAGATCAAAAAGTCAGAGCCTTCATTCTATTCAGATTATCTCCCCTGTTTACCTTCCACCCCCTCACTTTCTGAATTCTGATTGGATTGCTACCCTCTCTTCCTTTCTCCAAGCTGGCAACATATCGAGGTATGGGCCCTTAGTCTCTTAAGGACAGGTGAATGTTGCAACTTCTTCATAACTTTTCTCTATGGGGTATATACCGTGTTTCCCCGAAAATAAGACAGGGTCTTGTATTTATTTTTTCTCAAAAAGACACCCTAGGGCTTATTTTCAGGGGATGTGTTATTTTTTTTTAAGTATGATACAACAATCTACATTTATTCAAATAGAGTTAAGTTGTCTTCTTCTGGAACATCATCATAACCCTCCAAACCCCGAATTCCATCTTGAATTTCTTGTGACTCTATTTCCTTTAGAACCATGGGCCCCAATTTCTCCTGTCGAGCAATAGAGCTCTCATGGGGCAGATGAGAAGGGCTGCTCATCTTTACCACTCCACCACGAAATGCATGGGTTGTGCAGGTGCGCTGCGTAGCCACACCCGTCACTAGGTCTTATTTTCGGTGTGGGGCTTCTATTGCGCAAATGCTTAGAAATCCTGCTAGGGCTGATTTTATGGGTAGGTCTTATTTTTGGGAAAACGCGGTACCACTGGGATTGGGGACGGGCCATTAGGCCAGAGACAAGCTCAGTGGAACCTAATTCTCCCTCCACAACACCTCAGATGCTGGGCATCAAACAAACTGGGGAGGGTGAAGATGACAGACATTGCCTACCCTTTTTGCCAGCTTGTGTGGTCCCCATCATGCACCAAGTGGCATCCTTTTCTTAGGACAGAGAACTGCCCTGAGAGTCACATTCCTGGATGAAAAATTGCCCTCCATTGGCACGTGTCATCACAGAACAGGTGGTAGAAGGACGGTATGGCTCCAGGAGGAAGAGAGACCAGTGAAAAGGAGCACCCTTTTCTCTCTCTGCCCTGCTGCCAGGACTGCTTGTTTTCACATGACCCGCCTTGGCAGTCACCCAGGATGACTGTTGCTCACTCCCATTTTACAGTAGAGAAAACTCAAAACTGTTGCTCCAGAGTCACATTTGGAGCTGTGGCAGGGCCATTCTTGGCCCCCTTGCCTTCTGGTTTGGATCTTAGATCCAAGGCTGTCCAGGAGAGCCAGCTGGTTCACGACAATGGAGTCTTCTGGTCTGCCTAGCTGGGGCTGGAAGAGGATCAGCCCCAGCCTTGTGGGCAAGTGGTACAGTATGATGTGACAGCTTAAGGATAATGTCCAAGCCACAGTTACACCATATCACTGGGAAGTGTCAAGTGTGCTGGTAAAACCAGGAGCACCAATCAGTACCCAAGTTATAAAAAATAAAATCCCTCTTTGAGGCCCACGAAGCCCTCGCTCATATGAGACTGACCAAGTTTAAGAGTGTGTGTAAGGAGTGGAACTCCCTGACAGGGTAAAGGCAAACATAAGGGAAACTTCTGACTTCCTCTATCCTGCTGTAAACGTTCTGAGGAGCCACAGGGTGAGAGGCTTGGCTGGGATGAGGGACATTCAGAGGGCTTTTGGGGCTGCTAGACAAACTGGACAGGTGCACTACACACAGAGACACAAGGCACAGAGACACTGGATCTGGAGGGGAGACAAATGGTCACACATCTGGCAGGCTGACAGTCTGAGTCTGACATGCCCCAGCAGAAGCAGCACAAGGGAACAGCACTGACCTTTAGGAGAGTGACAAGATGAGGGCAGAGTGGCCCTGCTGGTTGCTACTTGGGTAGCGCTGGTGCTGAGAAGAGGAAGGGGATGCCGACTGAGGTGCAGGTGTGTTTTTGTGGAGCAAGACTAGGGGCTCCTGCTGGCAGTGCCTCAGTTTCTCCCTTTGGGTCAAGGTCTCAAGCTGCACAGGTAAAGTTTGGACTAGCGGCCCTGGAAGATCACCTGTCTGATAGCTTGCTCTTTGAGGTGTGTGTGAGAGAGAGAGGGAGGGAGGGTGCAAGCAGAGCGTGCCTGAGCATGGGGGGAATTGGGCCATGCCCCAGGACTTGAGCCATCTCTGGCACAAAAGGAGTTAATGGCAGGGACCGCGCCCCCCCCACCCCGTGTCCGGGCACGCGCAGCGCGCCCCCTCGGTGCGCGGGCACAGCAGCCAGGCTGCCGGAGAGCTGATCTCGGGGATTCGGGTGCGGAGCCCTTGGCCTGGAGGCGATATGGGTGGTCCGTGGCCCGGTTCAGTCGCTCGCAGCAGCCCAGGGAACAGGTGAGGCTGCCTGTCCTGGTCTCTCATCCTCTAGCTACCCATACCTTGTCCCCATCCTATCCCCTCTCAATCCCAGGCTCCTCCACTCCCCAGCCAGGAGCCCCCATCCCTTTCAACCCCATGTTCTCCATCGGCACCCCTGACCCCCCACTCCTCCCCTGCTTCTCTTCTCTCCTCCACCTCCTCCCTAAATCCCGCATCCCCATCATCCTCCCGCCCCTGGTCCCTCTATTTCCACAGCCCAGCCCGCATGCTCATCAAAATACCCCTATTGAGGGCCCCCAGCCCCATTCCTGTATTGCACATTGCCAGTCCCCCTCCCCTGCAGTGCAGCCCCATCCCCCTTCCATCATAGCATCTTAAAACCAGGCTCCCTCCCCCACTCTCTGCAGCCCCCCCACCCAATGGAGGCCTTTATCCTATCCTCCCCCATTCCAATGCAACTCCATCCCCAATACCATTCTGAACCCGCGTAGTCCCCAATACTGCAATTCTCAATACTGGTCCATTCCTGCACAATGCCCCTCGCCCAATACCGGTCCAGCCCAAAAAGTGCCCCCAGATGCCATTCTCCCAGGCATCGCTGCCTCCCCTGTCTTCTCCAAAATTGCAAGTTGGACCAGGATAGAGATGTTGGCCTTGGGGATTCACAGTGGGTCCTAGGGTACAGAGGGCGTTTGGGGGTCGGTCTGTTTGTCTAGGTGTTCACAGGGGAGGGGCTGCAGGGAATTGACTCAAAGAGGGATTTGGTATTTGGCGCTGAAGGGTTACTAGAGAGGGAGGCATCCCAAAAGGGTTAATGGAATTTGTGGGGTGGGGGTGGCACCGAGGGGGTTAATGGGGGGGGTGCTGGCGGGGAAGCCGTGTGAATGAGCGGTCTGTGCCCCGGAGTTGCCATGGAGACGGTGAATGGGGGGATTGTGTGAACTCAGCTGCGGACTATCCCCCCCCCATATACACACCCACCCACTCCCTCCTGCTCCACCTCCCTACTCCTACCCCTTCCTTCCCTTCCTCCCTCCCCACCCGGGTGCATCCTGGGCAGTGTCTGAGATCTTCCCCCCCATATTTTGCTCCCCATTTTCCCATTTCCTCTGAGCCCCCACTCCTTTAGCCACTTTACTCGCCCTCCCTCTTCTTCCTTTTTCTTCTCCCTCTCTCTCTCTTTCACACACACACACACACACACACACACACACACATTCTCATTCCTCTCTCGTGGTGGCCGATTGCCGGGGGTTCCCAATCTCCCCCCTCCCCCACCCCTTCAGCCAGTTCTTAAAGGAGCAGGCCTGCAATCTTGGAAGGCGGGAGAAATGGGGGAAAATGAAATGTGCATGCAGTGTGCATGTGCGTGCGTGCCTGTGTGTGCCAGTGTGTATGTGTTGACTGTGTAACTGTGTCAGAAGGCCTGTGTGTCTGAGTGTGTTGCTATTTCTGTTTCTGTCTCCACCTATGTGTCACCATTATGCTGCATGTGTCTCTAGATATTTACCTATGCGGGCATGTGTGATGATATTTCAGTAAGTCTCTGTGTGTGTCTCTGAATGTATCACTCTGTGAGGCTCTGGCTGTGTGAGGCGCTCTGTCTCCGAATGTGGGACTATATGAGGGGATCTCTGTGGGTTTGGAATGTATGTCTCTACGACTGAATATCACAGTGTCTGTGATCCTGGCTTGGTCTCTCTCATTCCCTCTTTGAGTCTTTGTGAGTTTATTTCTATGAGTCTCTGAGTGTATGGCCCCTACACTGCGTTGTTTATTTTGCACTGGACAAGCATCGACAATGCCTAGGGTGCTGGGCAGAATGATTTCTACCTCAATTCTGGTATTGCATTTGGTGTTGAATTAAGAGATAGCCAACAGAGAGAGGAACAAGGCTTAAGGATTTGGGAGCAGTGAGGACTGAGGAGAAATGTACAGGAGGGGCTCAGGAGAGTCTGGGGACTCTGGTGAATGGCTGTCCTGCCCCCTGCCCTGCCTGAGAGTGAGGAAGTCTCTCTGTGATTTCGTCTGTCTGTCTGCTGCTTTCCCTTCTTATGCCTAATGTCCCAGAGTGAGGTGAACGATCCTACCCTCTCCTGATGGGGAGGTCAGTGTGTGGGATTACCAGGTCCTTGGGGCTGGACAGCTCAAGGTTCATGCAGCATGCCCAGGGACCCAGGCTCCATCTCTAGTTCCCACCCCCTGGCTACCATGTTACTCTGGTTCCAGGCGACTCTGATGAACTCTATTGGCTGTGGGGTTGAAGTTGGGGACTTTGAACTTGCATTGGCAACAAACTGTCGCTCTGCCAATCCCTTTGGATTTTCCAACCATGGCCTGGCACATAAAATGCTTCTGACTGCTGGTGGATCATCTGTGAGTGGCTGGAGCCCTGGGCATGTGAAACTCTCCTAATGGTAGGAGAATAGCCCAAGCCCACGAGTTCCCCCAAAGACCAACTCTGTACCCCTCCCAGACCATTATGAATGACACATCCTTCCCTCTTTCCACAGGCCTGTCTGGCCCTGAGGGAGTCCCCTTTCTGAAGCTGTGGTGCTTGGACGACCTGCTCTCTACGTTGCTGGGCACCTGTAGGTGTCCCTGGAGAGCTCAGTTTTGAGGTTCAAGTCAGTGTGGCCATGAAGGGGCTGCCTATTGGGCTGATGCTGTGACCCTGGAGTCTGCCTCTCTTGCCAGTCCCCCTGCCTGGAACATGTGGCTGCGGCTTGGCCCGCCGTCGCTGTCCCTGAGCCCCAAGCCCACAGTTGGCCGGAGCCTGTGCCTCACCCTGTGGTTCCTCAGTTTGGTGCTGAGGGCCAGTACCCAGGCTCCAGCACCCACAGTCAATACTCACTTTGGGAAGCTAAGGGGTGCCCGGGTACCACTGCCCAGTGAGATCCTGGGACCTGTGGACCAATACCTGGGGGTGCCCTACGCAGCTCCCCCAATCGGCGAGAAACGTTTCCTGCCCCCTGAACCACCCCCATCCTGGTCGGGCATCCGGAACGCCACACACTTTCCCCCAGTGTGCCCCCAGAACATCCACACAGCTGTGCCCGAAGTCATGCTGCCAGTCTGGTTCACTGCCAACTTGGATATCGTAGCCACTTACATCCAGGAGCCCAACGAAGACTGCCTCTACCTGAACGTCTATGTGCCCACGGAGGATGGTGAGTGCTGCGGCCAGGCACTGTGCCCTCCCTGCCTCCCGCCTGCCCTGTTGTGTTTGTGGCTTGCATGTGGTTGTGTGCCCTGCAGCATGCGTCTGTCTGTCTGTGAAAATGCTTCTAACCATCACTCTGCTTGGCCTCCCCTTCCCCCCTCCCTGTTCTTCACTCTCCCAGCATTGTCCAAGCTCCCATGTGTGAGTGACACTGTTGCCAGGAGGGGCCTGGCCAGGCCTGAGAGCTTTGACAGGTCTAGGTCCAGTACTGGATGGGGGTTCCCCGGGGGAGTATGGGTCACTGCTGGCAGCTGCCCGCGGGAGGATGCTGGCTGCACCAGGCCCCCCTGTCGCCATCCCACCTGCTTCAAAAGGTGGTAGGTGTGTGTGGCCAAGGGAGCTGGGTGTGTGGGGGGAGCGGGGGGCAAGCCTGGTGGGCGATGCTTAGGTGCCTCCTCTTTCACTAGCTGATGCCTCCTCCCGCGGGGGTCACACTAAGGTAAGTTACAGAAACAAGGAGATGGTGGGACAGGCTCTCTGCCATGTGCCGCCTGCAGAGCAGCTCAGCTCTTGGGGCTTGGGGGGGTGGGGGGTGCATGCCCCTGGGCAGAGGCCTCCTGTTATTTTTTAGTTTTTTATTCATTTTACAGTAAAGCGGATTTCCAAGGAATGCGCCCGAAAGCCCAACAAGAAAATTTGTAGGAAAGGAGGTAGGTAGCGAGCCGGCGGGGAGGGAGAGAGAGAGAGAGGGAGGGCTGCCTGCCCACCTGCCCTTGCCCCTGAGGACCCAGCCTTCCTTCAAGTAGCCCAGGCTCAGGGGGCGGTGGGCAGGCATATGCTCCACCTCATCCCAGGGCCCTGGCTGCTTTTCAGGGAGGATCTGGTGGCCTAAGGCAGGTTCAGAGCAGAAGGAGCAACCCCATTTCTTCCAATCTTCCCAGCCCCAAATTCCACCCTAAAATGTGTGCCAAAGACGGAGCCAGTGGCTCTCTCAGTGACACCTCAGGAGAGACTCTGGGCAGCCAAGATGGAGCCAGAGGCTCCGCCCTTTTTCCAGTGAGTGGAGCCACCACAAGACCACCCCTTCCCTGCTTTTTCCACTCCCACCCCCAGGTTGAAAGTCTAGACTCAACTCTCAACTCTTCCACCCTGAAGCTTAGACCAAACACGCCTACACAGGTTCAGTACTCCCACCACACACACGACCCCACACCCCGCCCTCCTGCCCCCACCTCTGGCCAGAGCACAGCTGAGAGCCCTGGGCTGCTCTGGTGGCAGAACTCGGGGATCTCTGAGAACTATGGACTCTAGAGGAGGCACAAGATCCTGAATTTTAAATTTATCCTTTTGCTGAGAGGAATTTATTCCCCTGTATAATAATTCTTCCTGTTTGATTACTACTTTATGTTTTCTGCAAAGCGTTTTCATATTTACCTCATAAAATCCTCCCCACGTCTCGGGAAGCGTATAAGGCAGGAATCAGTAGCCCAGTTTCACAGATGAGGAAACAGGCCAGGGGAGTGACTTGCTGCTGCTCAAAGCCAGGTCACTGGTCTGTGGCAGAGCTGGGACCAAAATCCTGGGTCTCTTGACCCTCAGGGCATGTTCTTTCCACTGTAGCACTCAGCAGCAACTCCCATCTGGCCATTCCCGCCTCCCCAACTCTGAAAAGAATGGTGAGATGTGGCTGGGTTGGGCCGAATTGGAAACAGTAACAGCTTAAGGAACAGGTGGAAACTCACAACTACATCCCTAGACTCTTTGGCATGCTTGGAGTTTGTTTTCCTCTGATGTCCTAAGGCAGGGTTTCTCAGAGTGGGCTTGTTAGGGTTCCTAGAACAGGGTGCTCCTTACTGAATAAGGATCTCTGGGGCCACAGCCCAGGAATCTACATGGCGAACATGAGTCCTGAATGCTTTTGACGCACACTGCAGCATGGGGTGAGACCTGCTGCTCTAGGGACAGTGCTCCCCCACATCCCCACGCCCAGCCCAGGACCTCACACACCATAGGCGATCGGCGTTTTGCACAGGAACGCAGAAGCATTGTGGTGCTGCAAAAAGAGAACAGGTCTGGGAAGCACGAAGCCTGACAGAGTCCCAGCTCTGCTGCCGACTCGACTCGACTCGCAGGGAGGCCTTAGGCAAGTATTTGCCTTTAAGAACCTCTGTTTCCACAATCGGAAGGTGGTAGGGGACAATTCCGGCCTTAGCATTTCATTAGCCTATAAATGAATTCAGATAGAAGATCTCTTAAACCTGCTCCTATGAGTTACTTGGTGGGCTGAGGCCAGGAGATGACACTAACATTAACTATTTCTTAGGAAGATTGACCTCTCTAGGACTCCAGTATGGTGAACCTCGGGCAGTTCAGTCCAGCCCCGAGAGTTCAGCCAGAGAGTTGACTGGAAGCCCCCACTCAACTACACAGATTTATTTATTTTATTATTTTTTATTTTTATTTTTTGTGTTGCCCGGGCTAGAGTGCTGTGGCATCAGCCTAGCTCACAGCAACCTCAAACTCCTGGGCTCAAGCAATCCTTCTGCCTCAGCCTCCTGAGTAGCTGGGACTACAGGTGTGTGCCACCATGCCCGGCTAATTTTTTCTATGTATTTTTAGTTGGCCAATTAATTTATTTCTATTTTTAGTAGAAACGGGGTCTTGCTCTTGCTCAGGCTGGTTTCAAACTCCTGACCTTGAGCTATCCTCCCACCTCGGCCTCCCAGAGTGCTAGGATTACAGGCATGAGCCACGGCGCCCGGCCTAACTGCACACATTTAACAATCAGGATTGTCAACTGTGGGCAAGTCCACGTGCTAGGTGCTGTTGGGATGTGGAGGGATGTGAGGTAGAGGAAAAATCTAGAAATGACTACAGGGCCTAATCACTGCTCTGGGGAAGCTCCGAGCCTGGTATTAAAACTCAGCTGGTTGCCCTAAGCCCCACAGGCCAACCTGGGAAGGCAGTTCCAGACCATGGGGGAGGGCATTTGGTCGTTTGGCTGTTCAAATTAGTTCCCTATCCAGGGCCTATTGGTCATTTGGAACAGTTACAAACCCCGCCTCTTGGGGGAGACCCATACCCAGAGGTCGTGAGGGTTGCTGCGTGCAAAGGTCAGGCTGGCCGGCCTGGTCAGGCTTCTGCACAGCACAGTGTCTGGGCGTGGTGGTCAGTGGCCGGTGGTTGGTGGCTGAGCTGGCCCGGGTGAGAGGCATGGCCACAAGGAGTTGCTCGGCAAGTGCCAAGCCAGAGGAGCCAAGACATCTGTGTGAAGGAGGCTGGGATGATGCAGCAACCCAGGGACACTTGCAGAGGCCGCCCAAGGGACAAATCCTTTAAGTCAGGGGTGATGGGAACTGAAGAGTTTCCTGGGGAAAACCTGCCCCACTCTCCACCCCACCCCCCGTCCAGTGAAAGGGAATTCACGTCCGGGGATGAGTAATTCTGTTCAGTTTGGCGGGCTGTCCATTGTGTGGGTGATCATGCCCATGTCTCCTAGGCTTCTTGAGGACAGTACTGGCGAGCGTGGAGCTCACATGTTAGGACGATAGACCCAGCAGAAGTTCAGGGAGCTGGAGGCGGCTTCTGTCCTGGGGCTGGGCTCTTGCCCTAGTAGAAAAGCCATTGTGTAGTTTGAGAGCAGTTTCTGTTTTGATTAATAACTGTAGGAAAATGCAGTCAGCAGAGTCCAGACCAGCCGAGAAAAAGGGCTCTTTGCTACCTCCAGGCTGCGGGTATCTGGTGCCATAGATGCAAGAGGGTCCATCGTGGGGCATCGTGGGGCCCCTCTGTGTCCACACATTAACCAGCATCCAGGAAGCAGGTCCTCTCTCTCTGCAGCCATCGTCACGATGCACTTCTAGTCTCCTTTGAACAGGAAGGAGAATTGGTGCCAGCTTACCCCTAGATCCTAAATGTCTCTCTTCTCCCCTTCTAGTCTCTTCTTTTTCTCCCCTCTTCCCTTCTCCTCCTCCCCCCCTTCCCCCCCTGCTCCATGCTCCACCACTTTTCTCATCTAGTTCATCCCTTCCCTTTCCTTTCCCCCACCCCAGAAAAGTGGCATGGTGCAGTGGAAAGACCATGGGCTTTGGAGTCAAGCAGACCTGGGTTTGGATCTCACCTCTAGCACTTCCTAGCTGTGTGATCTTAAGCAAGTCACTTTACCTCTCTGAACCTCAGTTTCCCCATCAGTGAAACAGGAATAAGGATAGTACCTACCTCACTGGGGTGTAAGGATCAGACAATATGGCAGAAGTAGAGTGTCTGGCACATGGTAAATATTCAGTACATGATTGGAGCTATTACCATTATTCCTCTCTTTGTTTCTCTTCTCTTCTGTTCTGTTCTCTTCTCTTCCCTCTCTCTCTGTCTTTCTCTGTTTCTCTTTCATCATCATCCCTTTCTCCTTTCCCCCTTTCTTCTTTCCCTCCCTCCCTCTCTGGCTCTCTCTACATCTCAGAGCAATGCTTGCTGCTCTCAAGACTGGTTCCTGTGGGCAGGAACCCCATTTGCCATTAACCAGAGCAGGGGGCTCCAACGAGGAAGACCAGAGGGAAAGCTTCATCTCCCATTTTCTCCTGTGGGAATTAGGGTCAGCTGAGGCCCAGCTCGAGCCAGCCCACTGGGCCCCAGTTGCTCAGGCCTGAGGTCCCTGGTACGCATCTCTGCCCTAAACGCCTCATATTGACAACATCCACACATGCTGGCAATGTCACTGTCACCCTTGGTACCTGCCTCCGCTATCCAGCTCGACCTGCCTGTGTCCACATGCGCAGCCCCCTCCACCCAGAATGAATCTTTCCCCTGAGCAGGTCTCTGGCTCTGTGCCCTGGCCCACCTGCTGCTGCCTGCTTCCTAACTGGAAAGGTAGCTGGTTGAGACGGGCTGTTGGGGACAGGGAGGCGGGGCAGGGAGATGCAGGGAGGCCAGCACAGCAGGGGCCTGCAACACCATCATCCTGATGAAGGTCTGGGCCTCAGCCCACCCATTCCCTCAGTTCTTGCCATCCCTCCTGCCTGTCCTGGGCCCAGGCCCAGAGCTGGCTTGCTGGGCCACACTGCAGTCATGCTGTTTTTGAATTCTCTCTCTGTTTTGTTCTCTGTTCTGTGCTGTTGTGTCTCCCCGTGTCTGGTCCCCAGGATCCGGCGCTAAGAAACAGGGCGAGGACTTAGCGGATAATGACGGGGATGAAGATGAAGGTATTTGGGGGCTGCAGGGCGCGGCGGCTGGTGCATGGCACAGAGCCCCTCCCCTTCTCGATGGGGAGAAGCCCCGTCTGTCTGTCTGTCCGTCCGTTGGTGTGTTTCTGTTCCTGTACAAGGCCGTTGGGCTGTTCATCTGTCTTTGGCCTCGTTGGCCATTGGGAGTTCTGGGGTGATGGACACGGCTGGCAGGAGCAGGGGACCACAAGCAGAGCCATGGGGGGGCATCCCCCTCACCCTAGTCCCCCGCCCCTCCCCCATTGTCTATGCTGCATGGGCACCTGCCCCTCCTGAGCAGCAGGGAGAACGGAGAGGAAGCAGGGCCAGGGAGGGTGGGGAGAGGCACAAAGTGAACAGGATGGTGAGGAAATATGTGTTTCATTAAGGAGACCCTCGTGTCTTGCAGGGAGTGTGGCTTCTGGGGGAGGGGCCCAGCACCATGGTGAACTGAGGAGTCAGATAGTGACAAATAAAGGTGCCAGAGAATAGCAGCACCTAGAACCTCCCTAGCCTTCTCCCAGAGAGAGAGAGGGTCTCAGGGCCAGGGGCTGCAGGAGGTTCCAAAAAGACCAGGCTAAAACGCCAGGCTGAGCTAGGACACCGCAGCCGTCAGTAGATGGCATAAGATCCTTGGGTGATCATAGACCAGCCTCCCTCCTTGGGGAAACAGGTTCCATTTGCTCCGCAGCGGAGAGCATTCCCTTCTACCTCCGCACCTCGGCCCTGCCCCTGTACCCCTGGGGGGGCCAGACAGATCAGGGGGGCCCACTGGTGATGGGCAGGGCTGTGCTGGGGTGGCAGAGATTGTTGGTCCGGCTCACAGACCGACAGGCTGCAGGCAGAGGTGATCAGACCTAGAGCCTTCTCTTGACTGCCCCAGCCCCGACCCCGTGCTGCCTGGGCTTGGGAGCGGCCGCCTGGCGGTCCCTTGTGAACGGCCTCTGCGGAGGCTCCATCCATATGTCAGCGCTGACTGGGAGCAGGCGCTCTCGTTCTCAGTTCTGCCCTGTCCCCAGCATTTTCGATTAAGTCTGCCCAGGGAGAGTGGGGTAAATGGGCACATGGCTGAGAAACCACGTCAGTAAGGTCCCCCCCATCTCTGCCATCCACCCTCCTTTCCCCACATCCTTCCTCGTTCTCTCCCTGTGCTATCCCTTACTCCCACACCTCTTGTCTCTGTCTGCACCGGGGGGCCAGCTGCTGCCAGTGGCCGTTTCTCCATGTAACTGGTCTAGGGGGTTCCAGGGCTCCCCAGCCCCTGCTCTCTAAAGCCATATCAGGTCCCAGGACTCCTGGGTGCCCAGGGCAGGGACTCACCTGATGCAGCTAAGGGAACCATCCCTTCTTCTTCCTGCTGCCCCCTGCCCCTAGGGCCCAGCCGTGGCCCGCCTAGGCCTAGCTGTGTCACGCAGTCCTGGCTGCCTTCAGCTGGGAGGCACTTGAGACCGGAGTCTTTACAAACATCACTGAAGTCCGACTGTCTCTGGCAGATGCTTGAGCTCCAGGCTGAGCAGCTCCATGAGTCCTGCCCTCAGGGATGGCGGTGGTGTCCTGGCACCTGGGATAGCTTTGCCACCCGCACCCCCACCCAGGGCTGGCGGGGGTGGGGGAGGAAGGGCATCCTACCTAGCCTGCGTCTCACCCCTTCTCCTTGCAGACATCCGGGACAGTGGTGCTAAGCCTGTCATGGTCTACATCCACGGAGGCTCTTACATGGAAGGGACAGGCAACATGATTGATGGCAGCGTCCTCGCCAGTTATGGCAATGTCATCGTCATCACCCTCAACTATCGGGTTGGGGTGCTAGGTATGGTTCCCCGCCTGGTGCCTAGAAGGAAGGCTGGCTTCTCAAGGGGGAGGGAAGAATGGTGGGGAGTTAAAAGCAAGCAGGCACCCTTGGCTCTCTAGCTGGTGCTCATGACCACGTCCAAATGCTGTTATCCCATAACCCCTCCCCAAGTGCTGGAAGCTTTCCCATATCCCCAAGCCCTTCTTCAGAATGTTTAGATGGCACTGGAAATTCAGTTCCAACTTCACACCTTCTCTTAGGTCCCAAGCCAGGTGTCTGCTCCCAGACTTTTGCTTGGCTGAGTTTTATAGGGTCTGTTAATTCTCCAGCGTGCTGTCTTCATCTCCACGCACCCACCCCCTATCCCTAAACACCCCACACGTACACAGATGTTCCTTCTAGTCCACCCCACGTCTACACACCCATTTACCCTACGTGTCTACACACCCTCCCCCAGGCATACGGTTGTTTCTCACTCACCCCACACAAAGCACACACACAGCTAGCCCCGTGTCCACATCCAAAGGTCCCCAACACATAAATACGTTGTTGCAGCCCTCCATACATACTCCACACACGCAGTCTCCCGCACACACACTCTACACACTTCACATCCACACCCCACAGATTTCCCTCACCTTCCATAAGCACACACATCCTCGTACACTTCCCCCACCTCTCTCTAGCCACACCTACACCCATGCCCACACCACGTGCCCACACTCACACTTCCCTCTACCCCCATGTCTACACCTCACGGGAAGACCTACACCCTGCACATCCACACCCAAACTCCACACGTATGTACCAGCAATGTGCATAGATATTCCTTCTCCAACTCCCCCACAGGCCCGCACACACCTACACCCCCACACACCCCACTTCTGTGTCCTCTCCACACACCCACACGCTGCACACATACACACGTCTGCCCCTCACCTTCCTCACGGAAACACAGACCGATCCTCCCCGTCCCCATAGGCATGTACCCTCACTTGTGAGTCCACACCGTCCTACACCACGTGCACACATACACACATGTCTCCATATCCCTGCCGGCCATCTACACATCATCCCTCCCACGTGCTTACACTATGATATTCCCCCATATATATGCTTACCCATGAGAGCCCCCTGACACTACACGCGCACGACGCACACACTACCAGCACGCATCTCCAGTATCCCTGGCCGCCATGTCTAACACACATCCCAGCGCGTGCTACACTTTATTATTATTCCCCCATATATATGCATACCATAGACCCCTACACACACACGCGCACACGCACACACACACGCATCTCCATATCCCTGCCGCCATGTCTACACACATCCCACGTGCTACACTTATATAGTCCCCATACTATATGCGCTTACCCATAGACCCCTACACACACACACACACACGCATCTCCATATTCCCTGCCCCATGTCTACACACACTCCCACGTGCTACACTTATATATTCCCCCATATATATGCTTACCCATAGAGCCCTACACAACAACACCGCACAGCACACACACGCATCTCCATATCCTGCCGCCATGTCTACACACATCCACGTGCTCACACTTATATATTCCCCCATATATATGCTTACCCATAGACCCCTACACACACACACACGCGCGCACACACGCATCTCCATATCCCTGCCGCCATGTCTACACACATCCCACGTGCTACACTTATATATTCCCCCATATATATGCTTACCCATAGACCCCTACACACACACACACACACACACACACACACGCATCTCCATATCCCTGCCGCCATGTCTACACACATCCCACGTGCTACACTTATATATTCCCCCATATATATGCTTACCCATAGACCCCTACACACACACACACACGCACACACACACACGCATCTCCATATCCCTGCCGCCATGTCTACACACATCCCACGTGCTACACTTATATATTCCCCCATATATATGCTTACCCATAGACCCCCCTACAGCACACCGCGCCACAGCACACACACGACGCATTCTCCATATCCCTGACCGGGCCATGTCTACACACATGTCCACTGGCTAACAGCTTATATATTCCGCCATTATATATCTTTACCCATAGAACCCCTACACACACACGCGCAACACACCACACACAACGCATCTCCATATCCCTGCCGCCATGTCTACCACACATCCCATCGCTGCTACACTTATATATTTCCCCCACGTATACTATGCTTACCCATGAGACCCTCACCACACACCAACACACACACCCACACACACGCATCCTCCATATCCCTGCCGCCATGTCTACACACATTCCCAGCGTGGTACACTTATATATCCAGTATATATGCTTAGCCCATAGACCCCTACACAACACACACACACACACACACGCATCTCCATATCCCTTGCCGACCATGTCTACACACATCCCACGTGCTCACTGTATATATTCCCCCGTATATTATGCTTTACCCATAGCACCCCTGACATCACACACACACACACACACACGCATCTCCATATCCCTGCTTCCATGTCTACACACATCCCACGTGCTACACTTATATATTCCCCCATATATATGCTTACCCATAGACCCCTACACACACACACGTGCGCACGCATATACAGCTCTGCCCGCACATACCTTGCATGTGTACACCCAGTACGTACATGTGTACTTATCCCCTCATCTCGCTCCACAAATATACACACATTCATGTACCTAGAGCTGCAGCTAGATCCATGCACGCACACACACCTCTACCCACCCCAGCCACACTCTTGCATCCCCCAACACTTCCATACCCCACAGACACACACACGCTCCTCTGCTCTCTCTATGCACGTACCGCCATACACATGCACGCTGCCATGCACACACTCATTACCTAAACACCTGCTCATACACACCCATTTACTCTTCCCCCTACATACTGTGCCTGGCACATACTTATTTTGGTGACTTAGGCTGCCCCTCACCCCTGTACCTTCCTTGGTGACCACCAGCGCCCATCTATGACCAAGGTCTTGGGGTTACCAAGCGCAGTGCCGCAGAGAGGCTGACTAAGCATACGGGGCCTTGCTCCCTTCACATGCTCTCCCAGACCCCATGTCCCTGCAGTGGCATGAAGAAGTCAACTCCTTGCCTGGAGGCTTTGTATCCTCAGAGTTCCAGTGGGGCTCTAGGTTCTTTGACAGGTCTGTAGGCCTGCGTGCTAAAGCAGAAGTTAGGCATGGCGTGCTCCTTTGCCAGCTGGGGGACAGGACCTCGTTTTAATTTGCTCTCAACTATATTGCTTTGTCAGTTCCAATCCCAGAGAACCTGGTGCTGCATTTCACTTCCGGGTGCGATTGCATGCACAAAATGGCAACCTCCGCTTGACTTACCATTAATGCTATATGGGATAGCAAGACGCCTTTTTTGGGTTCAGACTGGAAAAATGATATTCCATGAAAAAAGCAGAGTCTGTGGCACCTGGGATACTGGGTATGGAACGCGTAGGGCATCACCCCTGGTGTCTCCATGGTCTGGTAGGCTCCGGATTTCCTGGTTCTGCCCCTGCTCCATTGTCCTGCATTGCCTCAGACACCATGGCGACGCTCTCACTCAGTTCTGTCCAGAATCTCATGGTCCCATGCAGGTGGCTGTCAGCCCACACACTAGGGCTGCACGGTTCCTAAAGGGGAATGAACACACAAACATCATCACACACAGATATACAGGCACACATGCCCAGTAGTTGAAGGCCAATAGTAATTTTGCTATTTTCTTTTCTTAGAGTGACAGAAAAAATTCAATTCAGCTACTTTAAAAAAATTATATACACAGGCTGGGCGAGGTGGCTCATGCCTGTAATCCTAGCACTCTGGGAGGCCGAGGTGGGTGGATCGCTCAAGGTCAGGAGTTCGAAACCATCCTGAGCAAGACCTGAGCGAGACCTCATCTCTACTAAAAATAGAAGGAAATTATTTGGCCAACTAAAAATATATAGAAAAAAAATTAGCAGGGCATGATGGCGCGTGCCTGTAGTCCCAGCTACTCGGGAGGTTGAGGCAAGAGGACTGTTTGAGCCCAGGAGTTTGAGGTTGCTGTGAGCTAGGCTGATGCCACGGCACTGTAGTGCGGGCAACAGAGTGAGACTCTGTCTCAAAAATAAATAAATAAATTATATACACAAAGCTCCATTCTATAAGGTTTATTGGAAAGTACAGAGAATACTAAGAATATGTTCCATATTCTCAGAGCAGCTAGGAAGAGAGAAAAAGGGAGAGTGGAGGAAAGGGGAAGAGAGAGGTGAAAGCAAAGAAGAGGAGAAAAAGACTGGAGAGAGAAAAGAAAACAAGAGAGACACAGGGAATGGAGGCAGAGAGGAGCCAGAAGGAGAGACGTAGCATCTGAGGGACTCAGGGTTTCACATGGGATGCGAAGTCCCCATGATGTCAGTTGGGAGCTATGGGCTGCATAGAAAGCTGTGGCCGCTGAGCACTCCATATATCATCCCGATTCGCTGATTGCCTCACAATCCTTCAGCTGCTGTAATCCTTAAGCTTCTATTTCAGAAATTCTTAACCTTTTGGGGGGTCTTGGGCCCTTCTGAGATTATGATGAAAGTTATGGACTCTCCCCCAAAACAATGCACATACATACATGCACACAAACTTATAAAGACAATTTTACAGATCCCCCCGAAGCTCATCCATGAAATTCAGGTTAAGAACCCCCACTTCATGGCTGGGCGCGGTGGCTCACACCTGTAATCCTCCCCTTATCTGGGAGGCCAATGCGGGAAGATTGCTTAAGGTCAGGAGTTTGAGACCAGCCTGAGCAAGAGTGAGACCCTGTCTCTACTAAAAATAGAAAGAAATTAATTGGCCAAAAAATTAGCTGGGCATGGTGGTACATACCTGTAGTCCCAGCTACTCAGGAGGCTGAGGCAGGATGATCGTTTGAGCCCAGAAGTTTGAGGTTGCTGTGAGCTAGGCTGACACCACAGCACTCACTCTAGCCTGGGTAACAGAGTGAGACTTTGTCTCAAAAGAAAAAAACAAACAAACAAACAAACAAACAAAAAACCCCACTTACAACCTCCTCTCATTTGAATAACCAGAACAGCACACCTAGGGGACAGAAATATTATTCTCTAGGCTTAAGCAGTTGATGACCAAGATAATATTACCCAAAACTCAGAAGGAATCATAAACTGAGATTTGGTCAGAAGTTCCCCACCACTTCTGTGTACCCTTCAGTTCCTGTTCTGGAACACAAATATAATCAATAAGCCACTGATTGGATTCTGGGTACATACAAGATGTTTTTGTCTTTTGGCACCAGATATAGAACATGGGTTTGTCCCTGACACTTGGGGATTTTGCTGTGTAGTGGAGGCTTTGTTATTTTGTTTCCCAAAACATCTCAGAACAGGTGGCCAGTTCTGGACCCCAGTTACACTCACTCATTCACCCTCCCTCCCATCGCTTCTCCTGAACACTGAGCCCAAACAGACGGTTCACTCTAAGGTGCTTCCCTGGACATCTTGGGTGATTCACGGATGTTAAGAATGTCACAGGCTAATCCATGGATCCTCTCCAAGGCAGAGGAGTAGCTATTGTTTGAGAAGGCCCCACTGGGCTTGGGGCCAACAAAAGAAATGGACTCCAGTAGGATATGGAATGTGGGTATCCCTGAGGCTGAGCAAGTAGGGACTTGTCAAGTTTTATTCTGAGTTCCAGAATTTAATCCCACATCCTTGCTCAGGTACCCTCCAGGCAAACTGAAAACCTGGTGAACATCAAGCCTTGAGTGACACAAATATCTGGTTTTGTTACAGTCTGCCACATTCCCCCATCTTCTGTTGACAAGCAGTTTACCAGGTACTGAAGTAGGAACTTGGGCCCAGGGAGACTGGCTCAGATTTATTCTGGCAATTTACAAAATTTGGTGTTTCAGCCTTCATTCTCACATGGTTTCTGTGGATGGCTGAGTTACTGGGGAACTAGGAGGGAGTGATTGCCCTTCTAAACTGCCGGATTTTGTGTGCTCATGGCTGATCAGGTTTGCTGTTGGATATAGCACTTCAAACAGGATTCTTATAGTAGGGACTGTTGACATGGCATCATCCACATGCTTCAGGGCCCCTTATCTGGAGGTTCACGGGACCTGAGGGAGCAGAGAGTGATGGTCAAGTCCTTCACGCAGCCCTTTCAGGCCTTTGTCCCCAACTCAGGAAATCGGTACATGCCGGAGAAATCTATACCCAAATGCAGGCTTTTCCTGCTGATTGGGAAAGACATATTTGACACATTTCACTAAATGATGCCTTAGCAAAGGCTGAAGCCAAGTCTGCTATTGCCTAAACGAAAGAAAAGGAAAAGAGAATATGGGGGAAGGAGAGGAGGGAAGGAGAACTAAGGAAAGCACATAGTGATTTTTGCCAAAGGGTCTCAAGGCTTGGGCAGCTGAGTTGGATCTTGGTCAACATAGTTTTTAAGACTCGCAGGAGCAGCTTCAATTTCTGAATGGGCCAGGCAAAGGAGAAGATGGTTTCCTTGTCAGGAAGAACACGGGCTACTCCGTTCATCCGCATTCAGGCTTTCTCTAATTCTTTCCCATTTCCTCATCTGGAACCTGGGGCTAAAGACGACTTGTGACTAGGTTCTTGGAGGGATAACTAAGTACTTTCCACACTTAGTTGTACCAAAGGTAAATTAATAACACACTTGAAGAGGGTGAGATGAGCTCCTTTGCAGAAGCTAGGTACAGAAGGACATGAGAAAGACAGTGATGAGGTCTTGTGCCTGCTTGAGTCTATTTGAATTCAGCTTCTGCCCATGGGCTGTGAGGACCACCAGGGAGCTCTCCGTGAGCTAGGGGAGCCTCCTCAAACATGGCCTTGCACAGAGTTGATTCCAGGTGCTGTGAATGAGCTTTTAACCGTGGTGTCAAAAAATACGGATCCAAGTGTGGGTTTCCATGTGTAGGAGCTCCACAATCATCCACCTGGAAAGACCCCTTCCAAAAGCCTATAGTGGAAGGTAGAGCCTTCGAAGGAACCTAAGGATCCAGAGAAGAGAGATGAAAGGAACAGTCTAAAATGGAAGCGGTGGTAGGGGGAGGAATATAGGACATCTCTGTGGGATAGCCAGCAGGTGGGCGGGAAGGTAGTCTCCATGGCAACAAGTCTCCACAGCAGCAAATCCCAGCAGGTGGGTGGGAAGGTAGTCTCCATGGTGACATGTCTCCTCAGCAGCAAATCCCAGTGAGGGGGTGGGGCGGGAAGACCTGTTTCTGTGGTAACCCACTGCACTGACTTCCCCATTTCTCCAGCAGATGAAAAAGATGGTCTAACCCAGTGGCTTCTCCACTTTAGCAGGCATCAGCATCACCTGGGGAGCTTGTTAAAAAGCACAGATTACTGGGCCCCACCCCCAGAGTTTCCGATTCATTAGGTGGTAGAGGAAGGGAAATGCAGACTTGCCCTGAGAATGAGGGGTAGGGAGCCAGCCGAGGCCCTGGGAAGAAGTGGAGGTGGATTCATTCGTACAGGAAGGGCAAGGAGAGCTTACGGATGTTTGCCTCTCAGATTCTTCACTTCCTTTAGAGAGAGAAGGAAGGGGAAAGAGAAGTAACTGGAGATCTGCAATGTGCTGAGCATGTTATAGATGCTTATGTTCATTTTATCCTTGTGACAACACTATGAGGTATTTTTATCTCCATTTTGCAAAAGAGGAAACTGTGGCCCAGAGATTTTAAATAACTTGCCCAAGGCTCCATGGCTAGGATGTGATAGAGCCAGGATTCAAACCAAGGACTATCTGACTCCAGGGTCCCTGTCCTTCCCACTATATTTTGCCAGATGTTAGGGTAATGTATATCAGGTAGAGTACATCAGGGCAGAGGATGCTGATCAGGGCCGTCTCCCACCTGGAGGCATCCACTTCGGGGGGTCTGCGGACCCCTCCTTCCCAACTGGATCCGGGGTGGGAGGCAGGGAGCCTCTCCTTCCTACATTGATGACGCTGGACCTCGCAGAAAGGAGCAGTGGTTTATTTTTTTTTAATTTTGTTTGGTTTGGTTTTATTCTTTTTTGTTAGGAGCAGTGGCTTATGATAGCTAGGTGGAAAGAACTATGCTGCATGCTCATCCTCGGTGCCCGCCTCCCTCAACTCCTGCCTGCCGCTGCCCAAATCCTCCATCCCTCCGCCTTCACCACCCTCATGCCCTTTGTCAAATCCAGGTTTCCTGAGCACTGGCGATCAGGCTGCCAAGGGCAACTATGGGCTCCTTGACCAAATCCAGGCCCTCCGCTGGGTGAGCGAGAATATTGCCTTCTTCGGAGGAGATCCCCACCGTATTACCGTCTTTGGCTCGGGCATCGGCGCATCCTGTGTCAGCCTCCTCACGTTGTCACACCACTCTGAGGGTGAGTAGCTCTGCCCACCCTGAGCCCCAGGTTTCCCAGACTTCACCCCAGGGCCACCCAAGGGAATGAGTGTGCCCTCTTCTACCAGCTTGGTTTCCCGTGTGGAGAAGCGGAAAGCACGTGTTTCTCTGGGGGGAAGAAGTACTTCTCCCAGTGTGAGAGACGGAAGGGAGAGAATCCCATTTACATCCCGAGAAAGCAAGATTCTCCTCCTGACGTGGGAGTCTTATTTGGGAGAGCGTCCCCTCTGAGGGGACAATAGTTCTTTTGGGACAGGGGAAATCTTTCAGTGTGAGACGGACATGTTACTTCAGGGTAGTGGCCTAGGATAGAAATTGGTTTCTAGGTATAAGAAACACTCCTTCTCTGCCTTTCTCTCTGAAGGACAGGTCTGTCAAGAGGAGAAAGGTTCTTGAGGGGGAGATGGGTTGAAGTAAGAAATCACTAACCTGTGAGGTGGGCTTCTTCTGAGGGACGACGGTCTATGATCAGCCTCTAGACTTCCTCCTGGGCTATGCAAGCCACCTAAGGGAGACTCATTTTTTAGCCTCTCTCCTTGCCGTGGGTCCCTCTGTCAGTGACCCTTCCAAGGTGGCCGAATAGGCCCTCTTTCGCTCAGCAAGAAATGTTCTCTCCACCTCTAGACTACAGGGGACATTCTATCTTTGATAGGCAAAGCTGAGCTTCTCACGAAAAGATCTTCCTGAAATAGGTGCCCTTCTCTGAAGTAAGGAAATATGTGAGAGAAGACATATTTTTTTCGTTGAAATCAACCCTCTGAGTTAGTGATATTGTCACAGGAAGACCTTCAGTCCCTCTTTGAAGAAGGTCCGTGTCTCTGAGAGAGAAGAACCACCTCTAACCTAGAAATTCTGTCTCTGCCCCTCCAGAGACTAGCTTGGTGGGAGAAAAAGTAAGGTAGGCTCTGTATCTCCAGAGACAGGGAACGTTTCTACGTGACAGTAGTAGGAACAGGAATCCCCCTTTTTTTCCCTCAAAGGAGGGCAAAATGTCTGGCTGTGAGGGTGCCTGTGTCTGAAAAGAAGTCTGGCGCCTTATCTGACTGGGGCCTCCTCCCTGGTAGCAGAAGGCCTGAGCGCCTGTGTCTCTGGAGGCTTGGCTGCTTTAAAGATTTGCTCTCTCTGTCTTTCTGTAATTGACTCATGGAGAATAATCTTTGGAAAAGTGAGGCTCTCTCAAGTACTAATCTATATTTCTCTCCCTCCCTTTCTGCCCATGCAAACGGCCTTTCTCTTAGAGGAATGGACTTGTGTGTTTGAGGGCCCAATTCTCCCTTGGGAGTGTCGGGGCCAGAGAGAGAATAATGCCCTTTTTTCCTAGAGAGGGAAGAATCATCTTCTTTTTCAGTTTAGGGGACTCGCTCCTTCTCAGCTAAGGGGAGAATCAGGATCTAAAGCATCAGTGGAAGCTTCAGGAAAAAGAAAGTCTCTGTGGAGACTGCAGACTGCGAGTGCAGGTTCCCTGGGGACTTTCAGACCCCAAGGCCTTTGCCCTCAGGATCCTTCCCCGGACTCCCAGAATGTGAGGCTCTCTCCTGCCTGTGTTTCTCATCTCTCATGAAAAAGACCCCTTTGTGGTGCCAGCGCCAGCTCCCTGGTGCTGCGCTGGCACAGAGCTGGGCCCAGCTGGGCAGGAAGCAAGAGGGGAAGACAAGGAGAGATAAAGAGAGGGAGCATAAGGAGCCTGATGTCTAGGACTCAAGGGGTTAATTCTTCCTGGCATCTCCTTAACCCCTCAGTTTCCAACCGTTGCACTGGGACAGGGAAGCAACAGAGGAACCAAAAGTGCCGTTCCTCCTTCCCAGCCCATCCAAACCATGGGGTAGCTTCGGGGACAACAGAAGAAGGTGTTTTATGGCTGTGTGTGACACAACAAGTCTGACCTGGTGCTGCCTGTCTTCTGTAGGACTGTTCCAGAGGGCCATCATCCAAAGTGGTTCTGCTCTGTCCAGCTGGGCTGTAAACTACCAGCCAGTGAAGTACACCAGCCTTCTGGCAGACAAAGTGGGCTGCAACGTGCTAGACACCGTGGACATGGTGGACTGTCTTCGGCAAAAGAGTGCCAAGGAACTGGTAGAGCAGGACATCCAGCCAGCCCGCTACCATGTGGCCTTTGGTCCTGTGATTGATGGTGACGTCATCCCTGATGATCCCGAGATCCTGATGGAACAGGGAGAGTTCCTCAACTATGACATCATGCTAGGTGTCAACCAGGGTGAGGGTCTCAAGTTTGTGGAAGGGGTGGTGGACCCTGAGGATGGTGTCTCTGGCACGGACTTTGACTATTCTGTCTCCAACTTTGTGGACAATCTGTATGGCTATCCTGAGGGTAAGGACACCCTGCGGGAGACCATCAAGTTCATGTACACAGACTGGGCAGACCGTGACAACCCTGAGACCCGCCGTAAAACACTGGTGGCACTCTTCACCGACCACCAGTGGGTGGAGCCCTCGGTGGTGACAGCCGACCTGCACGCCCGCTATGGCTCACCCACCTACTTCTACGCCTTCTACCATCACTGCCAGAGCCTCATGAAGCCTGCTTGGTCAGATGCAGCTCATGGGGACGAAGTACCCTATGTTTTTGGGGTCCCTATGGTAGGCCCCACTGACCTTTTCCCCTGCAACTTCTCCAAGAATGATGTCATGCTCAGTGCTGTCGTCATGACCTATTGGACCAACTTTGCCAAGACTGGGTAAGGAGAAAATGGGGGCTTTTCTTCTTGGGGACCCCAGCATGCCCTCCCCTCTGCCCCATCTGACTAAACCTCTTCCACCATCTCCCTTCCTAAGATGTTCCCAAAATCTTGCTTGGTAACTCCTTTACTCCTCTTCCTAACCTCCCTTTCTAGAATCTTTCCTGCTATTTTCCTTCCTCCAAAAATTTCACTGAGGCTCAGAACTAGCATCATGACTGGGCAGGAGAGTTACTGGTAGAAGTGTGGAATTCAAGGTTAGCTGGTCAGAGGCTGTGTGAAATGGGAATAAAATACATTCTGATAGAGCCTTTAGAGGGGCTCTTGGCAAAACTGGGCAGCTAAAAAGATCGACAGATACTCAGTAGCATGTGAGAAGAAAAAGCACTTGTAGCCTGATCTTAGAGGATGAGCATAAGGAAGGATGAGATAGGAGTTCAAGCCCTGGGGAAACTGGGGGGGTGGACAGAGGGAGGTGCCCTGAAAAAGATGGTAATGGTGGGAAGTTTTTGAATAGGGCAGAGTTTTAGGGGTGGCTGTGAGAGAAAGAATGCTGGGCCCTTTCCTCATCGAGGCAGAGTGGTGACCCCAGATTTCCATGTGGTGTTTCAGGGATCCCAACAAGCCGGTCCCCCAGGACACCAAGTTCATTCACACCAAGGCCAACCGCTTTGAGGAAGTGGCCTGGTCCAAATACAATCCCCGAGACCAGCTCTACCTTCACATCGGGCTGAAACCAAGGGTCCGCGATCATTACCGGGCCACCAAGGTGGCCTTTTGGAAACACCTGGTGCCCCACCTATACAACCTGCATGACATGTTCCACTATACATCCACAACCACCAAAGTGCCGCCCCCGGACACCACCCACAGCTCCCACATCACCCGCAGGCCCAACGGCAAGACCTGGAGCACCAAGCGGCCAGCCATCTCACCTGCCTACAGCAACGAGAACGCCCAGGGCTCCTGGAACGGGGACCAGGATGCAGGGCCACTGCTGGTGGAGAATCCTCGTGACTACTCCACTGAATTGAGTGTCACTATCGCCGTGGGGGCCTCCCTCCTGTTCCTTAATGTTCTGGCCTTCGCTGCCCTCTACTACCGTAAGGACAAACGGCGCCAGGAGCCCCTGCGGCAGCCCAGCCCTCAGAGGGGAGCTGGGGCCCCGGAGTTGGGAGCTGCCCCTGAGGAGGAGCTGGCAGCGTTGCAGCTGGGCCCCACCCACCACGAGTGTGAGGCTGGCCCCCCGCACGACACGCTTCGCCTCACCGCATTGCCCGACTATACCCTGACCCTGCGGCGCTCCCCCGACGATATCCCACTCATGACCCCCAACACCATCACCATGATCCCCAACTCCCTGGTAGGGCTGCAGACGTTGCACCCCTACAACACCTTTGCCGCCGGGTTCAACAGCACCGGGCTGCCCCACTCACACTCCACTACCCGGGTATAGCTCCAGCCCAGAGCACAGCCCATCCCTGGCTCCCTCCCTCCCAACCCACGGACACACACACACGCAGACACGCACACAGACACACACGGACATATATGTATACGCACGCACCCACACCCTACAGCAGACCCACCCGCACAAACATAGATGTGGACATGCACTTGCATGTACAGAAACACAGATACGGAAGTAAACCTGAACAAACCCTTCAAAACGGGGACACCAATGAGTCCTCGGGAAACCGAGGACCCATGGAACAGCAGCTGAAGCCAGCTCCCTGAGCCTGACCACAGACACTCCTGGGGGCGCTGAAAGCAACAGCTGGACACCCCCTTGGTGCTCGCCTTCGGCCTCTCTTGGAACTGCACCACCGACCAACTCCAGACTCGGGAGCTTGAAAGAGCAGAGTAGCTCTTCCTCCCCCAGACTTGGTCTTTTTTCTGGGTCTTGTTTTTGTTGATTTTTTTTCACTTTTGGAACAAATGCTTTTCCAACCCGTGAGTGCTAAGAGGCAGCTCTGGAAGGGAGGGCTCCAGGCCCAGGTTTCTCTGGCTGCGGGACCCCCAGTGCACACACAAGCGGACCAAGGAACAGGACCCTCCCGGAGAGAAACAGATTCGAGCAAGACTATGGGGTGGAAAGAGAAAGGGGTTAATTACTGCTGGATGGGGCTGGAGAGCCACGGGGAGACATCTCCAGCTATCTCTGTGTCCCTGTGATGGCTGCAGAGCCTACAAGGTGACCTGCCTTCCCCCAAAGGCCAGCAGCATTGGCCTGGCTAGACCAGGGGACCCTAGATTTGCTGAATGAGGTACTGTGGAGGCCACGCCATTCCTGGCCCCCCACTCCGCCCGGGTGTGATCTGGGTTCTGCCTCTGCCCTTGGGGAAATGCTATCAGATATTTGCCCCATTTTCTTTACAGTCTCTTTTGTGTCTGTCATTTCTCTTTCAAAAAGGCGGTGTTTTTTGTTGTTGTTGGCTTTTTTTTTTTTAAAGAAAAGTTCTTAAAACACTAACGGAAACCCATGGAGTTTGTCCTTTGTAAAAATTTTAAACACAGTGTCTTGATATAAAAATAAAAAATCCAGTTAGCACTCCCAACCTGCCTCCCTTGCCCAGGCCTTGCCCCAACAGACCTCGGAGCAGGCGGCCTCCCTCTGCCTCCTCCTGTGCCTGTGAGCTGCCACGAGTCTGGGCTGCACTCTGCTGGCCCCCTCTACAGAGGCCTCTCCAATCCTAATCAGGTTGCTGTCCCTAACCCCCTGCCCCCAGCACTCTGGGTTCCTGCAGCTGATGCCTCCTCTTGGCACCTTGGGCCTCCTAATGAAATGGCGAAAATAATACTTCCTCCTCTGCCAGCACTGCCGCCACCGCTACTGCCGCCTCCTCCTTTTCTTCTTCCTCCTCCTCCTCCTCCTCCTCTTCCTCCCCACACCCTCCTCCCCTGCAACCACCCTGCCCTCATCTTGGACTGGGAGCTGGGAGGAGGTTTGACCTCTCACCTGCTGAAATTCTTTCTCGTGCTGAATCCAGTGAGGCATCAGACATGCTAACTCCCTGGCCTTGGGTAACCGACAGAGCAGGGCCCTCTGCTTCCCCAGGGACACATGATTCCTGTGCTGGGAATCAGAATTGAAGTCATCGTCGGGGGCCCTGCATGCGATTTCTCGCCAGGATTATGGTCAGTGGCTCCTTGTCAGCCCTGGGGCATGGATTGAGCAAGGCCCGCAGGGTTAGCATTATGGGATTTCATATTTTATCAGTGACGTGAAGGACTGAACTGGGAGTCTGTTCCTCAAGTGTGACGGTTGGGTGGGGTTGCTGATACCTCAGAAACTGGGAATGGAATTCTTCAAAGTGACCCTGACAAATTGAGGGACATGATCCATCACAAGCAGGATAATGTTCAGAGGGGACGAACACAAGGTAGTATGTACAAAGACCAAAACCCAGAACTAATACACTAATATGGTACATGAAACAGGAAAAATGGGCAATGTTTGACTTGACACATATATAGTTTAAAACAAAACAAAAAAAACTGGGGAGGGGCTGTCAGAGTGGGTCACAAGTTGAATGAGTCCATAGTGTAGAACTGGTTTTCTCCTTCCTTTGCTCCCTCCCTTCTTTCCTTTGTTCTTTCCAAAACTAATGTGAATACTAGCGTATAATAACAAAAATATAGCATGGAGTTGCTGGGAAGTAATAAGAGTGTGAGTCTTAGAACTAGAAGTAGCCCGAATCATCTAGTCCAATCCACTTATTTTGTAGTTAGGGAGATGGGCCGAGAAAAGCCCGTCCCAGCTAGTGTTAGAAACAGACTTAGAATGCAGCCTAGTCATGTATGACCCTTCCCATGGTCCTGCTCAACTTGTTCTACTGTACCTGCCACTGATTATGCCTTTCAGAGCGTGATGGGTCCCCCCTTGGCCAACACATCTGTAGTAGATGTAGAAAAGCTGGAGAGGATCTGGAGAAGAGCAAAAACATTGTGCCAAAGGACTCACTGGGCAGTGTGTGTGTTTTCATTTAGAAAAGAGAAATCTGATGAGGGAACATTCAACGGTGTGGGGCACCTAGTATGTGACAAGTGTGCTATGACCATCTTCAAAAATATAACTTGTAAATAAGGACAGAGCTGATGACTTGTTCTCCATTTCTTCGGTGGATGATAGAGGGGGAAATGAGACTAAGTGAAACACAAGGGAAAACTTTGCTACAGATAGGAGATGATCACGGCACCTAGTGAGTCCTCAACAGCAGTTGCCAAATTGAACAGATGGCTACTAAGGGAAGCGTTGGTGTTTTTCATCTTCCTGAAAACAGAGGGCTAGATTACATGACCTTTTGAGGTCAATTCAGAGTCTTTGTTCTTATGTTCCATCCTTTGGTTGCTCCATTTGAGATATTAGCAGACTGGGTCTCCTATTCTGGGGCGAGGGAGGATGAGCCTCCAAATTAGGAGACTCTCTCTCTGCCTCTCCTCTAAAAACTCAAGGCACCATAGCAACCCAGCTTCAATCCTATTAGGGACCCATCAGTGAGAGATTACAGCTGGTCTTCATACCTTTGAAAGGTCTAGATGGAGGAGGTGACCTTCAAGACAGGCAGCATTTCAATCTAATTGACAGCAATTCTGTGCCCGCGTAGCTTGTGGTTCTCAGCTCTGTTGCTGACTGCCAGCCGTGAGCCCAGCGAAAAAGTCCGGCTCCAGTTCCTTGTTTGAAGAGAAGCTGAGGATATGCTTGGACTTTATTTTACATTGCAAAAATCACTAGTGCCCAGACCAGTCCGCATCCCCTAGATTTATCTGGTTTCTATTTTGGTCTTTTAGGGAGCTGGACACAGCCATTGTGGGATCTGAATTTGGGGTGTGCGTGAAGGCTCAGAGGTTGGTTCCTGTGGAAATCTCCATAGGAAGTCTGACTGCTAGGACCACAGGCCTGGCCCTGTGTAGTTTACGTACTATGAGGCATAAAAGACACCCACTTTGGGATGCATACTGTCAGGAAGACAAAACTCAGCCATAATAAAATGAATGACATGCATAATTTAACAGGTGGCTTCAAGTATATAGTAAAGGCTAAAGGGACTGGAGAAATTGTTAAGAAAGGCCATGGCGGGGTTTGGGTGGGGAGAGTAGTAGGGATTCCAAATTGGGAGAAAACCCACAGCCAGACTGCGGAGACGAGCAGGTCTAGGCATGCTTGAGGAGCAGTGAGGGGACTGGCCTGATGGAAGTTAAACAGTCGCATCAGCTTGGCGACACAAGTTGTGGAGGTCCTCATCACAGCACAAGAGTTGGGCTATTATTGGATGAGCAATAGGACCCCCTGACCGAACTCATTTACTAACTTTTTAAAAAATTTTTTTTTACTTTTTTATTTATTTTTTATTTACTTTATTATTTATTTTTTGAGACAGAGTCTCACTTTGTAGCCCGGGCTAGAGTGCCGTGGTGTCAGCCTAGCTCACAGCAACCTCAGACTCCTGGGCTCAAGCGATCCTCCTGCCTCAGCCTCCCGAGTAGCTGGGACTACAGGCATGCGCCACCATGCCCGGCTAATTTTTTCTATATAGTTTTAGTTGGCCAATTAATTTCTTTCTATTTTTAGTAGAGACGGGGTGTCGTTCTTGCTCAGGCTGGTCTCCAACTCCTGACCTTGAGCAATCCTCTCGCCTCGGCCTCCCAGAGTGATAGGATTACAGGCGTGAGCCACCGCGCCCGGCCTTGCTAACGGTTTTAAAGTGAGAGAACAAAACCTCCTCAGCTCCTCTTCTGCTCCTTCTCTTCTGCAAGGAAAAGGATTTTCAGAGTAGACAGGACAAGGTGAACACCAGAGAGAAGCTCCTGAAGGCAGTCTAGTCCAAAAGAGCTTTAAGCTGGTCTGTGTAACTCCATCTCATAGTCTGAGCCAATAACAGCCCAGGGCACCTCATGGACTCGCATCTCAAGTTGCAGGACAACTGGTAGTGGCTTTGAAAACCCCATGGAGAATGGAAGACATGCTCACGCAGCCTAGAGATGGACAAACATGGCCCCACCGTTTCACAGATGGGAAAAGTCAACTCCACAAATTATAGATCAATGTGATATTGATTGAGGGCAAGATTCAAGGACAAATGGCTAAAAGGATGGTTAGTGAGCACTTTAAAAAGTAAGTGAAGCTCACTCAGCCCCTGCATGGATTCAGGAAAAGCAAATCCTACCCCACTCAGCTCATTTCCTTTGACAGAGTGAATGGAAGTGTAGACGAGGTGAATGCTATACCCACCGTGTATCTGGAGTTCAATAAAACATTCTCTCAATACTCTTGGGACAGTATGGAGAAATGTGGGATGGGTAAAGGTAAACCTAGGCAGATTCTTAACTGGTTGAACAGTTTTAGAGTCAATAGGTCAAATTTACAAATTATACAAAGCTGGCAAAGTCCCTTATTTGTATTCCAAAATGTAACAGTATGAATATAGGATGTGGCTTAGAGGGTTTTTAGAGTAAATGAAAGCTCATCATGAGCCTTCATGAGTTGAAAGCATGGTTTGGTTGCCACAAAAAGTATTGTGACCTTGGGCTGTATTAGTAAGGGTATAACATTCAGAATAAAGGAGGTGGTCACCTTCTGCTACTCTGCACTGGTCAGACCACACCTGATACCCTCTGTTCAGTTATGGGCACCAGACTTCAAGGGAGATGTTAACAAAAGTATATTTAGAGAATAGTGGTGAGAATAACAAGAGGACTAGAAAATCCCAGGAGAAATTTATCTACTATTAGCAAGTCATTGCTGGGCGCATGGGGAGGAGGAAGTTGTAACTTTGTTCTGCGTGACTCCAAAGGCTCCAAGTCCTAATCGATGGAAGTTATAGGAAAGCAGATTTTGGTTCAACATAAGGAAGATGCTCTTTTTCCTTTCTTTTTTACGATGAAAAATTATAATAAAAGTTTCAGCTCATGATTCCAGCCTCTTGAAGTCCTTTCAAACTTATTACCAACAGTTTCAAAAATGGAAGAAAAAGTGTCCTAATGTCAGCATCCTAATACAAGCACTTTGCTGTGTTTAGGAAGAACTTTCTAACAATCGGTAGTACCCTCTGCAGTTAGAATGGACTAGCCCCAAGGTAGGCAGCTCCATCACCACACATTCCAGCAGCGACCCCATGTGGGCGATGCAGAGGCAATGATGCTGGACTGAACCAAATGACTTCTAGGCTTTCTGAGATTCTATCATACTTCAGCCAAAAGTCTCATGGTAGAGTATTCAAGAAAATATTTCAGAACCTGAGTGCAGGGTGGGCTGGAGGAGGAGAGACTGGGAACAGAGATGATAACTAGTTAAGAGGTACTTACTCTGAGAGCTACAACTATCTCCTGCTCCTCCTCCTCCTCCTTTTGAGACAGAGTCTCACTTTGTTGCCCTGGCTAGAGTGCCGTGGCATCAGTTTAGCTCACAGCAACCTCAAACTCCTGGGCTCAAGTGATCCTCCTGCCCCAGTCTCCCGAGTAGCTGGGACTACAGGCATGTGCCACCATGCCCGGCTAATTTATATATATATAGTTACTATATATATATATTTTTTTTTTTTTGAGACAGAGTCTCACTCTGTTGCCCAGGCTAGAGTGAGTGCCATGGCGTCAGCCTTGCTCACAGCAACCTCAATCTCCCGGGCTCAAGCAATCCTCCTGCCTCAGCCTCCCGAGTAGCTGCGACTACAGTCATGTGCCACCATGCCCGGCTAATTTTTTGTATATATATTTTTAGTTGGTCAATTAATTTCTTTCTATTTTTAGTACAGACGGGGTCTCGCTCAGGCTGGTTTTGAACTCCTGACCTTGAGCAATCCGCCCGCCTCGGCTTCCCAGAGTGCTAGGATTATAGGCGTGAGCCACCGTGCCCGGCCTTTTTCTATATATTTTTAGCTGGCCAATTAATTTCTTTCTATCTTTAGTAGAGATGGGGTCTCACTCTTGCTCAGGCTGGTTTCGAACTCCTGACCTTGAGTGATCCTCCCACCTCGGCCTCCCAGAGTGCTAGGATTCCAGGTGTGAGCCACTGTGCCCAGCCTATTTTCACCTCCATCCCGCTGCACTTGAATCCCCAAATTACTGTGTCAGAAGCAGCCTTAGTAGTTGCCTAGTCTCCCCCCTCCTTATGACCTGGTGCTTGATTCCTTTCTGTAACCTCCTTGCCAAGTCATTATCTTGCCTCTGCTTAAACACTTTCAATGATGGGAAAGTTTTGTCCTCTCCAAGCAGACCATTACATATCGGATGATCGTGAACCATTATGAAGTTCTACCTTACGTTGAGTCAAAACCAATTTTCCCCCCCATAATATGCCGAAATTAAAAAAAAATCGATTTTCCCATAGCGCCCACCCTTTGCTCCTGATCACGCCCTCTTACAAAGCAAAACAAGGTGAATCCCCCTTAGATATTATATGAACCTTCCAATACCTGTGGTTGCAAACTGGATCCTGCACCACCACCATCAACCTGTTGGTCTCTTCTCCAGGTTAAGCAGCTCCAGTAGTTCATACACAATGACTCTTAAGTCTTCCCACGCTCCTGATCCCTCTCTTTTGCACATGCTCCAGACTGCTATTGTCCTTGTTCATGTATGGTGTCCAAGGCTAAAGACAATCCTGCACTGCGGTGAGAACAGAGCAGGAGAACGCAGAACTGTAATCTCTCCCATTCTAGACCTGAACACATTAGCATTTTGGGCAGCTAGTGTCAAAAATAATGAGTTTACAGCCACCACAAACACCTAAAGCTTTTCACCCAGATTGTTATGAAATCATGTCTCTCCTACCTTGCCCTTATTCATTTGGTTTTGATGAACTTGGCTATGAAATATTACATTTCATCTTCCCGGTTCATTATAGCCTCTTGGGATCTTCCTGAAACCAGCTTCATGTCATTTACAAATTTGATCAGCATGCCATCAATGTCCTCATCCAAGTCATTAATTAAGTTATCGGATAGGCAGGGACCTCCCTCCAGGCTGACAAAGATCCATTAGTCACCAGCTGTGAATATACCCTACTGTCCTGTCTTCACCCCACATTTTCCCTTCTTATCCACAAGGACATCTCACACCAGGACATATTTAAATAAAATAAGACTGCATTCTGAAATCCTCTTAGGAATCCGGGAGTGAGGAGGAGGAGGAGGAAGTGGGAATGAAAGGAGAAGAGTTTGCCCTTTAGATCTGCCTTCTCCCCAGTCCCCAGGAAAAGGAAGTGCCAGCAACAGCTCAGGTACAGAAAGTTGAAAGAACTGGATTTAGGGTCAGAAAACCTGCATTCAAATCCATCTCTGCTTCTCCCTAGTTGTATGACCATGGGCAAGCTATGTAACTTCTCTTTTGCGCATCTGTAAAACAGGGACAAAAACACCTACCTCACAGGGTTGTTGTGAGGATTAAATGAGAAAATGTATGTGAATGTGGTTTGTAAACTGTAAGCATCATACAAATGTAAAATATTATTATTATCATTGAGTGCTTACTGTGTTCATCAGTATAGGGTACAAAAAAGATAAACAAGACATAGTCCTTGGCCGGGCGTGGTGGCTCACACCTGTAATCTAGCACTCTGGGAGGCCGAGGCAGGAGGATTGCTCAAGGTCAGGAGTTTGAAATCTGCCTGAGCAAGAGCGAGACCCTGTCTCTACTAAAAGTAGAAAGAAATTAATTGGCCAACTAAAACTATATATAAAAAAAAGTAGCCAGGCATGGTGGTACATGCCTGTATTCTCAGCTACTCGGGAGGCTGAGGCAGGAGGATCGCTTGAGCCCAGGAGTTTGAGGTTGCTGTGAGCTAGGCTGATGCCACGGCACTCTAGCTGGGCAACAGAGTGAGACTCTGTCTCAAAAAAATAAATAAATAAATAAATAAATAAATAAATAAATAAATAAATAAAATATATAGTCCTTGCCCTCAGGGAGCTCACAATTTTGTAGGAGAGAGATGTAGACAAATAGTCACAATATTAACTAGGAGTCAGAGCAAATGGCACAAGTTGTTATGGCAATTTAGAAGAGGGGGCACTCCCTTCCAACTGGGGAAAACCAAAAAGGCTTCAAGGAGTTTGATCTTTACCCTGACAAATGGGACAGATCTGACAGATAGAAGTGCCTGAGAGAGGACAGCATTCCAGGTGGAGCGGCCTAGGAATGGGAATTGACGAACACATGTGAGGCGCTGGGACCAGTCCTGTCTGATTGTCAGAGGCAGTGAGGCTGGCCAGCCACATCGCAACGCTTTTAGACGCGGTCACTGCCAGCATGCCCGTAATCGAGCTCTCAGTCCTTCCGAAGGAGGACTAGAATTTGAGCAAAGCCTCTTAGGTCTCATGTCTGTTGTCCTTCAGCTGACGTCCTTGGAGAAAAACAACTCTTTTGTAGAGTGGAGCCATCTGGAAAGACTTCAGGAAAATCACCTTTTCTTTATCTAAAGCCAAGAAATAGGTCTCTGGGAAGAGCAGAGATTAAGGCCACATTTAAATCCTAGGAATCTTCAGCTGGAAGTGGCTGTAGTGTAAGGATTCAAGAGTTTTCATTGAAGAAGGGTTATCCACCATATCTGAAAGGCTGCTTCTTATTCTTCAATTCCATGTAGGGAGCAGGAAGGGAGAAGAAAATAGTTCAAGGGCTCTCAAGGTCCATTTCTTGATGGTGTCTTTGGAGCTATGGTTAGCATTTGGTGCCACCTGGTGTCAAAACGGAATATAGCACCCTCATGTAGCAGCCTCCTGCCCCCGCCTTCCTAAATCTAGAGCATTGTCCTGCCTCCCAGCATCTAAGGATGGGGCTGGCTTCTTCCAGTAGGGTAGAGCCGGCCACTCTGGGGTCTGTATAAATGCAAAAGTGGGAGAAAGGGAAAGTGCTGCTCCAGGTTTCATGGCTGTCCTTTATGTGTTGTCAAAGTTTCTATTTTTCCCAGGGAACCCCTGGGAATGTGTATTTTTCCCCAGAGTACTACAGAACTGAGTTTGCCATGTCCCCCTCCCTCCACACACACATTCTCTTACAATGGCTTGAATATCTGTCACAGATGATACAAGGTATCTCTCTCTCTCTCTGACCTGACCAAGAGAAATTGTCATGAGCCTTTAGGGTGGCCAAAGGAGTAACAGTAAACAGGTTTGGTTCCCCATGAGCTCAGGTTTAAGTGCTGTTGCTTCCTGAGTGTGCTATACTGTTCTAGAATAACTAGGCTAGAGTGACTTCTCTATAAGAAACCTGTTCCTTTAGAATTCCTATAGCCCCTCTAAAAAGTTAGGGGAGGGAGAAATGGTGCCTCAGAGAATAGAACAGATGGTGGCCCCCTTTTCCCTCTAACCCCATTCTTAAATAGATTCAAAGTGATCAATAAAACTAAAACCAGAGTGGTCTGATGATGCCTACTAAGGGGTATTAGTAGAGGGTAGCTTGAGGGGATGGTTCAAACTGGGATGGCCAGAGCTGAATAAGGACAAGACTGAGCTAGTGAAAAGGTTAATCCTTCTGTCACTGCCTCCATTCCCAGGTACCCTTGAAGTCCGAGCCCTGGCAGGCTTTTCTGGGTGTTGGTAAATCCTGGGTTAGCTCTCAGTTTGGATTGTCCATTGCAGGTGGGAGCATGAAAATGGCTGAAGTGCAAAAGAAAGAAATAATTAACTAGATTAGAATGCTTCAACCCTTGGATCACTACTTTTATATTTCTCAGCTCTTCCCTGGTCCCTACAATACAGGGGTTCATGAATGGAAGCCCCCTAACTGTATTGGCCATAAGAAGTGAACAAATCCCTGTTTACCCTTTAGTTAATACCAGGATATAGGCTGGGCAAGGTGGCTCACACCTGTAATCCTAGCACTTTGGGAGGCCGAGGCAGGAGGATTGCTTGAGCTCAGGAGTTCGAGACCAGCCTGAGCTCAAGAGTGAGACCCCCCGTCTCTATTACAAATAGAAAGAAATTAGCCAAACAACTAAAAATGTATATAAAAAATGAGCCGGGCACGGTGGTGTGTGCCTGTAGTCCCAGCAACTCAGGACGCTGAGGCAGGAGGATCGCTTGAGCCCAGGAGTTGGAGGTTGCTGTGAGCTAGGCTGATGCCACAACACTCTAGCCCAGGCAACACAGTGAGACTCTGTCTCAAAAAAAAAAAATAAAAAAAAAAAAAAGAACCAGGATACAATTTTTCACAAGTAACATTTGCCAGGAAACTAATGGATGAGAAAGTAGTAATGGCCGGGTGTGGTGGCTCACACCTATAATCCTAGCACTCTGGGAGGCCGAGGCAGGAGGATTGCTTGAGGTCAGGAGTTCAAAACCAGCCTGAGCAAGAGGAAACCTGTCTATAAATAGAAAGAATTAATTGGCCAACTAAATATAGAGAAAAAAAATTAGCCGGCATGGTGGTGCATGCCTGTAGTCCCAGCTACTTTGGAGGCTGAGGCAGGAGATCGCTGAGCCCAGGAGTTTGAGGTTGCTGTGAGCTAGGCTGACGCCATGGCACTCTAGCCCAGGCAACAAAGCTAGACTCCTGTCTGAAAAAAAAAACAAAAAAAGATAGTAATGAAAGAACAGAAAAACAAATGGGTTTATAAAGCTCACATTTCTTAACCTGGATTAACTAAAGTTAATCACAGAAAAACTTATTTGGTACAATGTAACAGGGGACCTAACTAAGTCCTTTTTTGCCAGGGCAAACACGTGAGAGATCAGAGGTTAGACCAAGCTGCCTAGACTTAAGGCTGACATGGATCTGGTGACATTCAGTCCCTGCTGGAATCAGCCTCCTCTGTTGCTCTAGGTGCAGAGACCCTAATGGGCACCTTCTGTCCTGGCGCGTGCTGCCTTCTGGTTCCGCAGTCACCCTGGCCCCTGGGCTTCTCCGACCCTCCCTCACCGCTCTGGGGCTCCCTGAAGAAGAGCCCTGTGAAACTCCACCCCTTCACAGTTTTGATGGCATTTTTAAGCATGTATGTTCTGACAAATACAAATTGGAAAAAAAAAATTTGGAATAGAGACTGCTTGTGAAAATCTGATTCTGTGGTGGCCATTCCTATTGTTATCAGCTACTATTTCGTTTGAGTCCCCTCAAGTAGCCATGTGACCTTGACGGCAAACGCCATCTTTCTCCGAAGCCTGCTGCGCTGCGCCCGACTGCCGCGACTGCAGCTCGCGCTCTGCCTTTTTCGATTTCAAAGGCTTCAGCCCGCCCACCAACACCCCTTTTCCGGTCTGAGGCTCGCCAGGCTCTCAGCTGATTTGAGGAGCAGACATGATTGACATGATCTCCGTCTAATGGACGCTCGTCTCTTTCCCAGCTCAGATTACTAGTTCCGCTGCCTTTCCCAGCTTCTTTTTGATGACTCATCCCTCGAATTCTTCGCACACTCGCCTTGCTTGTGCCCGCCCCGCCCGTCCTGTCTCCCTTCGCTCCCCGTTGACACCCAGCCCCCAGCTTGGGGAAATGGATTTTTGTGAATCCTGTCGGTATCGCTTTTTACAGCGTACTTTAAACGTATAGAAGCAAAAAGCACAATTTCTGCAGGGGAAAGAGAAGGTGCATTTCCTTATAAGGAGCTTAACCCCTCGCTGTTCTCTACGCTTTCCCCTCCACGCGGCGGGCTTGAGGGAGGGAGGAAAGGTAGCGGG